GTATGGGCACATTGTATGACAGGGTCACCTGACAAACTTGTGTTCCCCATTAATATGGTGGTCTACAGAGTGTGCCCTGCAGACATGATTACTGTTCTAATACTTAGCCGTGAGAAATTAAAGCATCTCTCTGGTGAAATGTTGAACTTGGTTAGAGGCCAAAATATGTGCCTCAAATATCTTGCTGTTTTTTACCCCCTCTACTGATCATATAATGTATGGCAAAGGTTATGTTTTCTGAATGGATGATTGAAAGGAGTGCAGAATTATTTTATGGGAGACATTGTTTTCTAAATGTTTGTGTAGTTCTAAAATATGGTGAATCTGTTTTTTGGGATTGTAATGGTAATTGATGATTTACCTAGCAACTACTTTGCTCTATTCTGATTGGTCAGATGTTTGTTACTTGTTGAAAGAGAAAAGGAAGTAGTTGAGTTAATGCATGGCTGCTCTAACTGTGGTCAGTTCATTATAAAATCTGAAAAAGAATAATCGTCCAGTGTTTGTCTACATAGAGAGTCATCCATCCACCATCTAAAGATCCCTCAAACTACAGGACCTGCTATCCCAGGAAGTCAGGTTGTAGCAAGCTTTTGTCATGATCTCCATGGGCTATGTGTATAATTTCATCATCTGCTTGTGGATTTATATTGGCAAATAGCCTACTCATAATGGGAAACCACTGATGAATCACTCCTGAACGATAGATAACTTCAGTTTCAGATACCCAGATTTTCCAGGCGACCTCCTAGTTATGTATATGATTCTCTCTTGTTGAAAAATGGCAGATTTGTTTTTGAACATTACTTTTGAAGTCTCCTGAGAGTTGAACTTTTTCTTGAAGGGAGAGTAAATGACAGAGCATGAGGGTACTCGGCCTGGTGCCAGCTGGATTAAAGCCCTGATAGAGTTTAGCATATTTTCCTACTGAAGCAAAGGGTGACCTCAGGAACCTGACAAAGAGGCACAAAATGGACCAGAGATGTTTCATATCTACTGTCTGGGGAAAATACTTATGATTTTACAACAAACTGAAAGTTGCCAGTTGGGGAATGACCATAGATTGTTGGGGGAATGAGGAGGGAAGAGCAAGGATGCCTATTGAGATATTGTCAGGGCAACATAAAAAGGAAATACATCAATGTCATTTCTTTGTCATATATTAGAACTACTGTCCTAAATGCATGGGCAGGATTCACAACCAAAATACGTCCAGTATTATTTTAGATATGGATAAGCAATCTAGCTATGTGAATTGTTACGTAAGAAGTATAGCTGACTCCTATCTGGACAGCAGAGGGTGCCAGATTGTCGCATTGAGCACCATGGAGGCCTCATGATGCACCTGATGAGTCCTTTGTAAGAGGGGGCCATCACTAGTCTACACTGACAACCGGACAATACAATCCTCTCGAGTGGTCTAAGGCACTGCATCGCAGTGCTAGCTGTGCCACTAGAGATCCTGGTACGAATCCAGGCTCTGTCGCAGCCGGCCGCGACCGGGAGACCCATGGGGCGGCGCACAAGTCGTCCAAGGTAGGGATGTAGCTCAGTTGGTAGAGCATGGCGTTTGATGTAAATGTAATGCAACAGCAGGCATTTGTATACATAGTCACAGACCTGCAAACAGCTGCCAGTGATACGTGTGACCTCTTAGCTAGTTCTGTTTAACTGTGGACACTTTTGATCACCAAGGTGAAGGGAAAGGGGCACAGAGGCAAAGCTGGTCCTGTAAAACAAACACTAAGTCATTAAGAGCCGGAACCAGCAGGCTCCAAGTTCTCTGTATCCAAGAGACATGCAGCGGGGTGTTGTGGGGGGGATTGTATCTGAGCTTGGAGTGTGCCATATGTTCGATTTATGAGGAGAGACGAGGACTTGTTTTCATGATAATTCTGTTCTCTAGGCTGAAGTACCATTAGAAATATGAAATGAGTTGTTGTTATGCTAACCCTCCCCCACTATCCTCCATCTACCCTCTGTTAAATTCCCCCCTGGCCTCTAAGGTCATAACACTCTGGATTTTAAACAGGTTCCTTTAAAGAGAAGGAAAAAAGCTCAAGTAAACACAGTGTTCCCATGATAATACAGAGTAAGTGGACATTTGCAAGCAAGTCTCGTACTGGCTTAACTTCTCTTCTGCTGATTGGGAGGGAGGAGAGGAAGTGCTGAGTTTCCTCCAGCTTCCTAGAGCTGAGCTGTTTGCATTGGCCTTGGTAAGCCGGCTGGCTCAGTTGACACAATGACCATTGATGAGGATTATTTCAATACCATGTCCTCATATCCCTTCAGCCTCCTCTATCCACCACTGTTTTCAGCTACAGTAAGAAAATATAGATAGGTGTAATAGCAGGAATAACATCTGTATTAACATTTAATCTGTTTCAATGCAACAACAAAAAATGAGCTGAAGAGCCATTTTGGTACTCTTCCAGGAGGCTTTTATGTTACTCCATATTCATAGTGACGTATAAGAAATGTTCGATATAGCCAAATACCAGATGTATCAAAACGCATCCTTTGAGTCTCTCTCTTCTGAGCTAATATGTAATTGACAGAGCCATGTTACGAGCATTAACATAGAAAGAGCTTTATTTTGTACAGTAGATATACAGTGAATTCAGAAAGTATTCAGACCTGTTGACTTTTTCCACATTTTGTTACGTTACAGCCTTATTCTAAAAGGATTCACATGTTTTTTCCCCTCATCAATCTACACACAATACCCCATAATGACAAAGCAAAAACAGTATTTTTGAAAATTTTGCAAATGTATAAAAAAAAGAAAACGTATATTACATTTACATAAGTATTCAGACCTTTTACTCAGTACTTTGTTGAAGCACCTTTGGCAGCGATTACAGCCTCGAGTCTTCTTGGGTATGACACTACAAGCTTGGCACACCTGTATTTGGGGAGTTTCTCCCATTCTTCTCTAAATATCCTCTAAAGCTCTGTCAGGTTGGATGGGAATCGTTGCTGCACAGCTATTTTCAGGTCTCTCCAGAGATGTTCGATTGGGTTCAAGTCCGGGCTCTGGCTGGGCCACTCAAGGACATTCAGAGACTTGTCCCTAAGCCACTCCTGCGTTGTCTTGGCTGTGTGCTTAGGGTCATTGTCCTGTTGGAAGGTGAACCTTCGCCCCAGTCTGAGGTCATGAGCACTCTGGAGCAGGTTTTCATCAAGGATCTCTCTGTCTTTTGCTCTGTTCAACTTTCACTTAATCCTGACTAGTCTCCCAGTCCCTGCCACTGAAAAACATCCCCACAGCAGGATGCTGCCACCACCATGCTTCACCGTAGGGATGGTGCCAGGTTTCCTCCAGCCGTGACGCTTGGCATTCAGGCCAAAGAGTTAAATCTTTTTAGGTGCCTTTTGGCAGACTCCATGCGTACTGTCATGAGCCTTTTACTGAGGAGGAGCTTCCGTCTGGCCACTCTACCATTAAGGCCTGATTGGTGGAGTGCTGCAGAGATGGTTGTCCTTCTGGAAGGTTCTCCAATCTCCACAGAGGAACTCTGGAGCTCTGTCAGAGTGACCATCGGGTTCTTGGTCACCTCCCTGACCAAGGCCCTTCTCCCCCGATTGCTCAGTTTGGCCGGGCGGCCAGCTCTGAAGAATGATGGATGCCAATATGTTCTTGGGGACCTTCAGTGCTACAGACATTTTTTGATACACTTCCCCAGATCTGTGCCTCGACACAATCTTGTCTAAGAGCTCTACGGACAATTCCTTTGACCTCATGGCTTGGTTTTTGCTCTGACATGCACTGTCAACTGTGGGACCTTATACAGAAAGGTGTGTGCCTTTCCAAATCATGTCCAATCAATTGAATTTACCACAGGTGGACTCCAATCAAGTTGTAGAAACATCTCAAGGATGATTAATGGAAACAGGATGCACTTGAGTTCAATTTATAGTCTCATAGCAAAGGGTCTGAATACTTATGTAAATAAGGTATTTCTGTTTTTTATTTCTAAAAACCAGTTTTTGCTTTGCCATTATGGGGTATTGTGTGTAGATTGATGAGGAAAAAATCTAATTTAATCCATTTGAGAATAAGGCTGTAACGTAAAAACAAAGTGGAAAATGTCAAGGCGTCTGAATACTTTCCGAATGCACTGTATTCTTGTCATTTTTGGGGACTTTTTGATCAATAGTATAACATGTGGTCTAAATGACTGCATTGGTTTGAATAGTGTCTCATTTCACAGACTCTATAATCCCCACAGCACAGTCTGGGTCTCAGCAGGACTGGCTATCCTGATACAAAAAATACAACAAAAAAAAGCAAATGACATGGTCATTATACTATACTACCATTCTCTCTCTCGTACAGGAAGCGGGAACATATCACCATCTGCATCAGTCAGGGCATTTATCCCCTGTCAATGACAAGCACTCAGACTTAGGCTGCATTTCCCTTTCTTAATCATTCCTATTATAGTCACTACACTGACAATTGTCCCTCTGACCACCATAGCTAGGTAGATTTCAGAGGGTTTATTTGTGAGGAATTACTGTCACCAGAGCTGGATCCAACCCCCTGTGGAAGGCACGTACAGGCCCAGTGACTGATTACGCCCCAACTACAGATTCATCACAGCTATTCAGCTGATTGCACTTTAAATAAGGTGCCCTTTGAAGACACTTCAGGTACCATTCACTGCAAATCCATCTCTCTGGGATGGTCAAATCAAATGGTCTGTCTGGAAATACTGCTGAGCTGAGGAGAGAGTAAATCCCAAGGACTGACCTGTGCTTTAAAAGAACATCAGCGCACCTATATTATTAAGTAGACTGTAGGGTTAAGGGAGAAATGACATGAATTGTTCGCCTAGACACTCTATCAATCATAAAATAAGGCATTATACCAGTAAATTCTACATGGTTTCACAGGTGATGAACATTGCTCTTATACTAAGGCTAAGTTTATTGTGCATCTCTTGAACCTTTTAACTACTTTGACCAACCCAATCACTAAATCCAAACCAGGGAAGTACTGTAATTGCTGAGTTTGCCTTTTAATTTATGAATGCAAGACAAAATTGCATTTACATTGGTTTGCATTAATTGATAAGAAAGCAAGTCAAACAGTCAATAGTGTAGCACATTATAGACATGGATAAACTGCTGATGACAACATGAGATGATTGTGACAGCAAAATAATAACAAACTAATAATAGTGATCATGGAGCCAAGAATGAAATATTGGCATTTTTACCCAGTTTGGTCTGAATGTGTTCAATCAATCATAATTCTGTAAATATTTGTGGTAAAACACACCATGACTGACCTCCATTATGGATTTGTGCTTCTTCTCAATTAAATTTGTGCTCCAGGCCCTGAAAACGTAGTTGGCCTCACAGTATGTTTACCCCTTTCAGAGAAAGTCCTGTAGAATTCATGTCTGAAACTCATAGCAATCTACCACAGTGTTGGGACCAGAAATTTAGGCATTTTGTATTGAACACTTGCCCTGGGAAGTTGCATTGTACTTAACGGTCTAAGCGTCCTAGTGACTAACAACTATTGTGATATGTGATTACTGCTACACCATGCTTCAAGAAAGTGTTTATCCTGAACTATTAGCTTGGAATGGTCTCTACAGACCCAGGAATACAACATAGATAGTCAACACCTCGCTCAGGGGACTGGACTCGTCCCAGCCGCCTGGAGTTGTGTAACCCTCCACCCAACACCATTACCACGAGGAGCCAAGTTTGGATCAGTATTTTGGGGAAGGCTTCGACACAGTTGTCTCGGTCAAACTCTCTTGTCGTCACTGCCTTTTGGTCACAGTGTGAATGGATCACCAAAGCTGACTAGGGTTCAAGGGCAGATCAGGTCCATTGTTGGCCACTTCTTCAAAGCCATCGCCTCGTAAGATTGTACCACTTGCAGAGGTGCATAAAAGGGATTCCAGGACAAAATCTTTCACTTGCCATGCCACAACTGCCGGGAGCACACATCAGTCCTATTGCTTTCCTCAGAAGAACCAGAGGAGTCATGTGATGAATATAAGCCCCCAGATCCCCTGTCACTCTATTACTCAGGTCTCTTCAGTGCTAATGGAACATAAAAAGCTTCCGTAAGGTTCCTAGGCAGCGTATGAAGACCAGTGCTATGTGCTGCTACTGTAGTCTGGCCCCTGTCCTATGTGCCCTGTCGCTCACCTTTTGATCCTGCCCACCTGTTCACACATGATGGACAGGTACTGGGTGAGCTTCACCATGGCGATGATGATGGTTCCACCAATGAGGGTGCAGGTGGGCCAGAAGAGTGAGTGGAACACTGCCACTCGGCCATAGATGCGTGTCAGTAGAGCACTGTCCTGCTGTTCACCTGGGTCCGTGTAACACAACACCAGCTGCTGTGTTTTCAGACGCTCCGAGATGTTCATGATTACGGTGTACATCGCGTTGTAGTCCTTCCGACATTTGGGCACATAGAAGCACTAAGAGAACAAAGACAGATTTATTACGAGTCTTGGATGAGTTGACTTGAAATTTTACTTCTCGAAATTGTTTTCAGCTGCAAGGCTTTTTCCTCCATTTCCCCTCTCCTCCAGTAATGTGTTGAGGAGGAGTTGTCTGAAGTTAATGTTGTGCAGATTCATAATTAAATACAGGCCTAATCATTTGTCATCAATTAATCGTTAATTTATCTTAATTATAATTATTTTCATGTGGGTGCATTGTGATAAACTATTTATTTATTTATTTATAGTGAATTAGGGTGGATTAAACCATATTGTTTTCTCATTGTTACACTAATTACATGGTAGATACATATTTTATAGCAGTGATTATGTACTTACTGTTTGTGTTGAATCATTTGATTGCACATTGCTACCACATAATTAGTAAAACCAGGCATATATTACGGTAGCTGAAGCAGGACAGTGAAAAAAAGGCTTACTATTAGACATGTTATGTTTAAGCATGTCCTCTTTCTCACCTCTGGGCTGGTATCCTGTGCCTCCTCGTTGTGGGAGAGTCTGACAACCTTCCCGGATGTGTTGAGACTGACAAACACCTGTAGGCACGGGTACTTGGAGCTTTTCCAGCACTCAGAGCCGCAGCTGTAGGTACAGTTAATCTCCGCCACGATGGTGGAGTTGAGCACAGTGCAGCTGGATTCCTCCGTCCACACACTACATGGCATAGGGTTAGGGGTGGGGGCAGGGAGCAGAATGAAATAGTTACTGACCTGCGTATAGCTCTACCCAGATGCCTTTCCAAATATTGGTGTTTGGATGCCACACAAGATTAGTTCAACATCAACAACAACTGTATCCAACAACACAATGAATAACATTTAATTAAATGAAAAAGGAGGAATTTGCAAGAGACTGCATGATGTGAAGCAGACTGAATCAGTTGAATAGTAGAAATGGGAGAAAAGATTGACAACACTAGCAAATAGCAGATTATAGTGATTAGCTGAATTCCAAAGTCTCTTAACCTTTTGAATAGCCCAGCATGCCTTATAGTGTATGTACGGATATTTGGAAATTGATTTTAGTAATCCAGCAGCGTGTGTCCCTTTTGAATATCTCTGTCATCTATTTTGAATAACTTGCTTTCACTTTCTCTCGTAGGATAAATGTTGCACTGCCTTTAAAATTGAAAGCCTTTTGCACTGAATCCAAATAGAAAGCGCTGTGGGGAATAGCAGCCGTTTTACAGGCTCCTTGCCAATTGTGCTATTTTGTGTTTTTTTGCGCTGATCTTAACTTTTTTTGTACATTATGTTTCCTCCATCATTTCCTATGACCATTAATAGCTTCTGGACATCAGAACAGCGATCACTAACCTAGACTACATCAATGAGTCATAGGCGAATGACATACTGCTCATCCCGGACCAGGCCCAAATCCCCAACACTCAGAGAAGGAAGAGGCAGTATTATAGAGGCTGGCGTGCGGGATACGTGATGAAACTAGCCTATGTTTCTCCGAGTCGTGGCTGAACAACAACATGGAAAATATAAATCAGGGAGTTTTTTTCAACATCGGCAGGACAGAACGGCAGCGTGGGGTAAACTCAACCATACTATTTACCAAGACAGTTTTCTTCTATATTTTTCGTAGTTGTCTACTTACCACCACAAACCGAAGCTGGCACTACCACACTCAACGAGCTGTATAAGGCCATAAGCAAACAAGAAAATGCTCACCCAGATGCGGCGGTCCTAGTGGCCGGTGGTTTTAACGTAGGAAAACTGAAAACTTACCTCATTTCTACCAGCATGTCACCTGTGCAACTTGAGGCGAAAAAACTCTAGATCACCTTTACTCCACACACAGAGACGCATACAAAGCTCTCCCTCGCCCCCTCCATTTGGAAAATCTGACCATAACTCTATCCTCCTGATTCCTGCTTACAAGCAAAAACTCAAACAAGAAGTACCCGTGACGTGCTCAATACGGAAGTGGTCCGATGAAGTGGATGCTAAGCTACAGGACTGTTTCGCTAGCACAGACTGGAATATTTTCCAGGTTTCATCCGATGGCATTGAGGAGTTTACCACATCAGTCACCGGCTTCATTAATAAGTGCATCAACGAAGTCGCCCCACAGTGACCGTACGTACATATCCCAACCAGAAGTCTTGGATTACAGGCAACATCCGCACTGAGCTAAAGGTTAGAGCTGCCGCTCTCAAGGAGCGGGTCACTAATCTCCAACAAACCATCAAAGGGGCATAACGTCAGTACAGGACTAAGATTGAATCCTACTACAACGGCTCTGCCAATCGTCGGATGTGGCAGGGCTTGCAAACTATCACGGATTACAAAGGGAAACCTAGCCGCGAGCTGCCCAGTTACGCAAGCCTACCAGACGAGCTAAATGCCTTCTATGCTTGCGTCGAGGCTAGCAACACTGAACCATGCATGATAGCACCAGCTGTTCCGGAGGACTGTGTGATCACGCTCTCCGTAACCGATGTGGTTAACATTCACAAGGTCGCAGGGACAGATTGATTACCAGGACGCATAGTCAGAGTATGCGCTAAGCAGCTGGCAAGTGTCTTCACTGACATTTTCAACCTCTCCCTGACCCAGTCTGTAATACCTACATGTTTCAAGCAGACCACCATAGTCCCTGTGCCCAAGAATGCCAAGGTAACCTTTCTAAATGACTATCCCCCCGTAGCACTTACATCTGTAGCCATGAAATACTTTGAAAGGCTGGTCATGGCTCACATCAAATCAAATTTTATTTGTCACATGCGCCGAATACAACAGGTTGAGACCTTACCGTGAAATGCTTACTTACAAGCCCTTAACCAACAATGCAGCTCAAGAAATAGAGTTAAGAAAATATTTACTAAATACAATTTTAAAAAATTACATAACAATAACCAGGCTATATACAGGGGGGTACCGGTACCGAGTCAATTTGTACGTGTGGGTAGGGGTAAAGTGACTATGCATAGCTAATAAACAGTGAGTAGCAGCAGTGTAAAAACAAAAGGGGGGGGGGGGGGGGGATCAATGTAAATAGTCCGGGTGGCCATTTGATTAATTGTTCAGCAGTCTTATAGCTTGGGGATAGAAGCTGTTAAGAATCCTTTTGGACCTAGACTTGGCGCTCCGGTACCGCTTGCCGTGCGGTAGCAGAGAGAACAGTCTATGACTTGGGTGACAGCATTTGGAACACATAGTTTTAGCTCCTGAGTATTAGCTCCTGGGGAGGGGCTAATATAGGGGGATTATGAAGATTCCCATGCACCTTACATCACAGCCTGACCGACAGAAACACAGTTTGGCTAAGGGGTGTGGTTCAGTAACAGTTCAGATGGCATATGAGCCATTATCCTTATAGCCAAAGTAAAATACACATGATGGCACATGATGAGCATCTAACAGCCAATACAAAAGGAAAAACAAACATCAGGACATTGTGAGTGACTTGGTGAGTGAGAGCACATTACCTGTCTGAGTAGGAGCGCACCATGGTGATGCCCAGCACAAAGTACATCATCACAGAGAAGAGGATCATGCTGAGTCCGAGGAGAATAGCTCTGTCCTCCCCAGCCTTCAGCGCTGTCACTGTCTTCCTTTTGTCTAGCACGTCATACTCCCGGACCTTCTGATAAATAGTCCTGATACATGCATTACAACACACACACGCAGGCCCACACGTACACACACACACACACACACACACACACACACACACACACACACACCAAGTTAGGGATTACAGAACTGTAAACACACAGTGACAAGTAATTCCACCCCTAAAAGCTCTTTTAACATTTACCGGGAATGCGTCATGAGGACATCTGGCTTGATCAAATGGCATTAGTCAAATCAATTCATAATCAATAGCCTTTTAAGGGTCAGTATGAATTCAACTCTCCTCTCTTAGGCATGAACATGTAACGCTTTCAATCAATTATTTTGATCATGTGATACATTTTCCCTCACGAATAATGTGAACAGTCTAAATGTCATAGCTAATAATACTGATGACTGGTAGACCTATAGATAATGAGATGTCTGGAGGCTAAAATGGTAATAGTTGTTATTTTCCCTTAGATCTTTTGCAGAAGAAAGCACTTTCAGGGGTGGATGAGTTTTTACAAATACAAACTGACTAGCTTTTCCCTTTTATACACAATTATTGTTGCTGAAAGCTGAGCGCACAAGTTAAGTTTTGTCTGTTATCTTTCCCATGATCCTTTGTGTTGTGTAAAATATTAAGGGTACTGTACCTTCTCTCACCTCCTGATCCCTGAGCTCCTTTACTTCCCGCCCAGAGGAACATCCTCCCTGAGGACACTCTGTGCCCACCACCACTCACAGAGGGCGTCTGAGACCACCTGCCAGGGACAGACACACACACTCAGTGACCCATGTGGCCCTCAGTCTCCACACGCCTGTCTTGGCAGTGCCACCCCCACAGAGCCTGGTCAGGACACCCCACAGCCAAGTGACAATCATTTTCTCACTGCAGAAAGGAAAAACCACTTTCTCACAGAGTTCAGAGCCACTCGCCATCCACTGGGATAAGTGAAGGTAGAAATAATCCTTGGACTGTTTGAAGAGCTGGAGTCCACCAAGGCGGAGAGGCGGAGAGGTGGAGAGGTGGAGAGGCGGAGTGGCGGAGCAGGAGCAGCACTCATGCACCTGAGGCACACGCACAGTGTTCATGACACACACGCCTCCCTGTGTGCGTCAAGCCCACTCGTCTGGCACTTTATTTCCTGCCTGTTCATTTGTTATTGACTATTCATAGTCCGAGCTACGGCGGCAGGCTGGTGGAATAATGATGAGGTTTCCAGGCAGAGAGGACCTGCGACAGCATTGATCCCTTCCGACTATTCAGCAGTAAGAGGCAACAGGCACTCAAAGCCTGCCTCCCTCCCCTGTTCCTCCTCCCCAACTTCCCTCTGTTGATAGTCCTTGATGGAGAGTCCCCTAGCAACATAGTTGCACTGGTGTTTTCAGGGAAAATGACAAACTGCTCGGCATAGTAAGGAAAGTAGTGAGATTGCCCAGCCCCTTTTGGTCGCCTTAGATTAGGAGATTTAAACAAATACACAAACATCCCCTCATTATGTAGATAAGGTTAAAAAAAAGTTTTTTGTGTGTGTGCGCGCATGCGTGTCAGTGTGTGTGTGTGTCCTGTAACTCAAAGGCATGGGGATAAGACTGTGGTAAACATTTCATTAACCCCTCCATAGTCCTCTGGGTCTATCAAAGCACGCATATACACACACGGGACCTCTGGCTGCATATTTAGGAGAGATAACAGTTCATGTGCCAATGCAAAGTGATGCATTCTGTTTTCAGATGCGTGTAATTGTATTTGCCAGAGGTGTGCTCCTGTTGCTGGGTTATTTGTTGACATGTGCGATGACCCCACTTCCACACTGTGTCATTGTGAATTTTTAAAATGAAGAGGGGGGTTTAATAAGCCATATTAAATGAGTGTGGACTGAGACTGCTGGAGACTGTGGTGGATGTCACAGATAAGGATGTACATGTTTGAAGAGTATATTCTTCCAAACCATATGTTAAAAAAATAAGCCATTGCCAGAACAATCTGAGATACCTTTTTTGGCTACGTTGGGGTGGAATCTCCAATGTCTATAAAATGGTAAAGCAGACATCTGCAGAGACAGACGTGGTAGATCTAAGTCAAGAGTGGACAGCTTTTACTGGTGATTGACAGTGGAGATTCCTGCTGGCTGGGCTAAAGTCCTTGTAGAGCTTACAGCTAGCATTTCACCGTCTCTCTCGCCTTCATCTGTCTGGCTCAGAACTCTTACATTTACAGAATGTGTAAACTATAAAGCAATCTGCAATATAAATACATGATGATAAACCATTTAACAAATGGGGACTCACAATGAAGTAGGCTGTAACTGCTGGGGCTTTTATTACAGATTAGGCCAAATCCACAGTAACGGAATTACGCTTTTTCACTTTAAAATGTATGCCAAACAAACTATTGATTTCAAAGTTTAACAAACCATACAGGAATACTTAAGAATTTCCACTGAAAATTTACCATAATGAAATTAGTGGAAGAACTGTGCAGATGCAAACTTTGGTAACAGAATTACAGTAAAATCTCCCTCAGGTTTTTATGCAAGCACGTTTTCCAAAAACTCTGTTAAATATCTGCTCTGAATTAAGATTCAAAGATGTTTGAAGAAAAAATGGGATTTCAGCTATGACATGGCGCCTTGAGTTTGAGAAAAAAATTATTTTGGTTATTGAACTACAGTAAGTGAAGTGGATTTACACCCATTAATGGAATTAGGGTAACGGAATTATGGTAACAGAATTACAGTTGAAGTCGGAAGTTTACATACACCTTAGCCAAATACATTTAAACTCTGTTTTTCACAATTCCTGACATTTAATCCTAGTAAAAATTCCCTGTTTAAGGTCAGTTAGGATCACCACTTTATTTTAAGAATGTGAAATGTCAGAATAATAGTAGAGAGAATGATTTATTTCAGCTTTTATTTATTTCATCACATTCCCAGTGGGTCAGAAGTTTACATACACTCAATTAGTATTTGGTAGCATTGCCTTTAAATTGTTTAACTTGGGTCAAACGTTCCGGGTAGCCTTCCACAAGCTTCCCACAATAAGTTTGGTGAATTTTGGCCCTTTCCTCCTGACAGAGCTGGTGTAACTGAGTCAGGTGTGTAGGCCTCCTTGCTCACAAACACTTTTTCAGTTCTGCCCACAAATTTTCTATAGGATTGAGGTCAGGGCTTTGTGATGGCCACTCCAATACCTTGACTTTGTTGTCCTTAAGCCATTTTGCCACAACTTTGGAAGTATGCTTGGGGTCATTGTCCATTTGGAAGACCCATTTGCGACCAAGCTTGAACTTCCTGACTGATGTCTTGAGATGTTGCTTCAATATATCCACATAATTTTCCTTCCACATGATGCCATCTATTTTGTGAAGTGCACCAGTCCCTCCTGCAGCAAAGCACCCCCACAGCATGATGCTGCCACCCCCGTGCTTCACGGTTGGGATGGTGTTCTTCGGCTTGCAAGCCCCCCCTTTTTCCTCCAAACATAACGATGGTCATTATGGCCAAACAGTTCTATTTTTGTTTCATCAGACCAGTGGACATTTCTCCAAAAAGTACGATCTTTGTCCCCATGTGCAGTTGCAAACCGTAGTCTGGCTTTTTTATGGTGGTTTTAGAGCAGTGGCTTCTTCCTTGTAGAGCGGCCTTTCAGGTTATGTCGATATAGGACTCATTTTACTGTGGATATAGATACTTTTGTACCTGTTTCCTCGAGCATCTTCACAAGGTCCTTTGCTGTTATTCTGAGATTGATTTGCACTTTTTGCACCAAAGTATGTTCATCTCTAGGAGACAGAACGCGTCTCCTTCCTAAGCGGTATGAAGGCTGCGTACTCCCATGGTGTTTATCTTGCGTACTATTGTTTGTACAGATGAACGTGGTACCTTCAGGCGTTTGGAAATTGCTCCCAAGGAGGAACCAGACTTGTGGAGGTCTACCACTTTTTTTCTGAGGTCTTGGCTGATTTTCTTTTGATTTTCCCATGATGTCAAGCAAAGACGCACTGAGTTTGAAGGTAGGCCTTGAAATACATTGTCACGGTCGTCGTATCGAGTAGACCAAGGCGCAGCGTGTTGAGCGAACATACTTTATTTAATTAAAGTGTACACACGAAATACAAAACAACAAACGATACCGTGACGTCCTAAGTCTAAACACAACCAACTGCAACAAGATCCCACAAAATACAAAGGGACAACAGACAGTTTAAATATGGCTCCCAATCAGAGACAACCAGCCACAGCTGACACTCGTTGCCTCTGATTGGGAGTCACTCAGGCCAACAAAGAAATAAACAAACTAGAACTCCCAACAAAGAAATACAACACATAGAATGAACACACCCTGGCTCAACATATAGAGTCCCAGAGCCAGGGTGTGACATACATCCACAGGTATACCTCCAATTGACTCAGATGATGTCAATTAGCCTATCAGAAGCTTCTAAAGCCATGACATAATTTTCTGGAATTTTCCAAGCTGTTTAAAGGCACAGTCAACTTAGTGTATTTAAACTTCTGACCCACTTGAATTGTGATACAGTGAATTATAGGTGAAATAATCTGTCTGTAAACAATTGTTGGAAAAATTACTTGTGTCATGCACAAAGTAGATGTCCTAACCGACTTGCCAAAACTATAGTTTGTAAATGTGTGGAGTGGTTGAAAAATGAGTTTTAATTACTCCAACCTAAGTGTATGTAAACTTCCAACTTCAACTGTACATAATGGGTCTCTGATCTGTAGTACACAGAAATGCATAATACATAATTAGGGGGTGCTTATATAGTCCTGTTTCACTGTATGTACATGTGGGTAACCCTCGGAGAGTGGGGTCACAGCCATGGGATCAGCCATTATTGACGGCAACCCTGGAGCAATTAGTGTTAATTGCCTTGCTCAAGGGCAGAATGACAGATTTGTACCTTGTCAGCTAGGGGATTCGCTCCAGCAACCTTTTGGTTACTGGCCCAACCCTCCTAACCGGCAGGATACCTGCCGCCCTATGGATATGAATAATTATAGATATGAATGTCATTCTCCTCATGTTTCACAAGTTTGGACATCACAGCGCAGCACTGTAGACAACAGTGCAGTATAATACAGCAGAGCAGAGTATAGTTCAGTACAGTAGAGTTCAGTAAAGGACAGTACTGTACTATACTCTACTTTTCTGTACTGTATTGTACTGTACTGTATTAAACTGTACTACTATACTATTGTGCTCTACTCACTGTACTCTATTGTACTGTGCTATCCAAACTTGTGAAACATACATCTATGATAGGTTCATATTTGGTCCAGTCTGGTATGTTAACATCAAGGCCAGGGTGGACTGACCAAATTTCAATTGCTTTTCAACGTGTCGGTCGGTGCTCAGTGGGTGAGGATGCTGGTTACAGTAAATGGAAAGTGAAAAACTGGAGAGTGAAAGAGAAAGGCAGAGAGAGAGAGAAAGAGAGGGAGGGGTTGTCCAGACTCTTGGTTTGACCACCAGACAACAGAAAGAGAAAGAAAACAGTTATCAGCTGAACATAACAGTATGCCAGTGGAAGGGAGGACAGTAGCAGGGGACCCAAATGTGGTTTGTGACCATTGTAGCCAATTCAGTTGCAGTTATTCCGTTACATATTTTGGGGTAATTCCGTTACCAGTTTTAATGACTTGATTAATAAACACATTTGATATCAGTCAAATCACTATAAATAATTGGTAGGTCTACCATTACTTCTTATTTCTGTGAACTTTCATTATCTTCCCTCCTTATGAGGGAGAAAAATGTGAAACTATGTTAAAGATATGTGGGTTTTTGGTAACAGAATTACAAGGCATAAGGCATTTTTGGAAAATGTACAGAAGGTAAACAATTTCTCCAAAACGAAATAAATGTATAACTGTTGATAATTCTGATTAGTGTTTAAGACTTTTTCTGGTAGATGTTTTCTAATACACCTTTTCCATCTGTTTATCCAGAAATCAAAGTCTTTACTTATGTCAAATTCTTTATGGAAAATGTTTGAAAAATTGATCTATGCCTTCATTTCCCCAAAATATAGCTTCTTAGCTTTCATTTGACCCCCAATTTGATAG